GACTGTTAGGACAGCAGAAAGGATCATTGGTGTGCACCTGCCCAGTCTTCAGGACTTGTACAACTCCAGAGTGAAGAAACGGGCAGGTAAGATCATAAAAGACCCCTCTCACCCCGGACACAACCTGTTTGCACTTCTCCCTTCAGGCAGACGCTACAGATCTTTGCACACTAGAACATCTAGGCATAAAAACATTTTTTTTCCCAATGCCATCTCCAACTTAAACAGCTAACACATGAATCATTACCTGTGTTCTGTAATTCATTTCCGTAATTCATTCTACATCTTTAATTATTGCCTTTTTCTCAAGTATTATGCAAATACATATGGATATCTCTTATTTATACAGTTCTATATAGAGTACAAATGCACAAATCTGTACATAAATCTACTGTTCCAGATTCATACACATTATTTTTTGTTAAGTCTTACTATGTAAATGTTTTCATGTCAGATGTGTATGTATGTATGTATGTATGTATGTATGTATATGCATGTGTGTATGTACCAGGAGCACCTGATAAAAAAAAAACCACAACAAATTCCTAGTGTGTTTATGCACACCTGGTGAATAAAGCTAATTCTGATTCTGATACAGCTGTCTCTGTATCGATATTGTGGCACGTGCACAGCAGTGGGCCCCGCTTAATTTGAATACAAGAACACCTTTTAAAATGGAGTAGAAAAGTGTGAGGTTTCTAAAAAAAAAAAACGAATAGAGCATAATATATAGGCTACAACAAAGTTTAATCTGGCCGCAGAGGAACACAACCGGGGTGTTAGATGTCTGTTAAAGATCTTTTGATCTGGAAAGCATCTGCTGTGTACAAACATCTGCCAGACGTCTATAAGATGTCAGTTTTACATACATTCTAAATCATAAACATCTTAAAGACATTTAATAGATGCCTATTTGACATCTAAAATGAAACGTCCTATAGACGTATTGCAGATAAGCAAACACTTGTCAACAAAAACAAAATGTCTTCCAGATGTAAATGCAGACGTCAAATAGACGTCTCCGCGAGGTACATGTGCTATCAGGGCTGGTATAAAGAGACGTAATCCCCGAAATAGATCTTCACACTTGCGCAATATGGAATTAGTGTGTTACTTATCTTTGTAAACCTGGCAACCATGTGTATGCGCTTGCTTTCTGAAAACACCGGTTAGCTTGCTGTTTAGCGATCTCCACTTCAATATTCTATTCTCAGAAAAGTGTAATTCATCAAAGTGTTCGTTTACGAGAGAGAGAGAGAGAGGTTGTGTATGATTTACCACTGTTTTGCAGCGTTTCTCTATTAACAGTGAAGCTGTGGCTTTAATTACTTTAGAAACGACGATGTTACCAGCTGCTTTTTGAGAAAGACAATGTAGCTTTTCAGCGATTAAGCTGTTTTATTGATAAAATTGCGGGGCAGCGCTAAAAAGTTTGTCTGAGCGTTAAAAAGAATGTCTGTGTGTGCGTGCAGCGTGATCTAGTGACTAAACGTGTGTGAGTGAGCTACAGTGAAGACAGCGCATTAGTTTAGAACGCTTCTAATTTTTCTTTTTTAAACGTTGATTTGTGCAATGATAACCTACCAGCAATGTGAATGGGACAGGTTAAGCGTCTTTAATATTCGTTTTGTTTTTTTATTATAATTTGTTTCCATTTTAATTGTTGTGTATATTTTACATGGGAAGACACGCCCACTGGCATGGAGCTGCATCTTGACATTGAGCTTACCTGTGCTGCGCAATCACTGAGGTGTGTTAGTGGCTTTATAAAAAGCAGGTCTAAGTGTGGCGTTTTGATTCTTCTTCTGTGTGCATGTTTTGCGGGCAGAAAAGGACTTTGGGCTTATATTTCCTGTCGCTTTCCCCTTGTGAGTCACCTGATTTATAGTTTTTTTTAAATATGTGTTTGTTATTAGGGATGTGTGTGCGTGAAGGACGAGCGCATGTAGCATAAAGTTACAATAGTCTAAGAATCTCGCTTGGGAGGTAAGCAACTTTATTGTGGGTTCTTTTTTGGGGGGAGGGAAGGGGGAAATCATTTGAAACTGTTGCACTATTCGTGTTTTTTTTTTTTATTATTATTATTGTATTTCAGGTGTGGCCTAAGGGCACTAGCTGCTGTTTCATCGAGTTGTTGCATCGACTTGTTTCATAGACCCGTTTCATAGACCTGGTTCCTATACCCGTTTCATGTGGCTGTTTCACTGCCCTGTGTACGGCCAACTGTGTGGATGTTGCAATTTTGAACCGCTGATTTACAGAGTGTTTCTAAGACTATTCTGCCCAATTGATCTGTACGATATGTTTGAGTAAGTATTGGACATTCTTTTTTTTGGTCTGTGGTACAAGTATATTAAGCTAACAGGCTTTGTATTCTGGTTCAGTGAAGCCGCTTGGACAATTATAAAATATTAATTGATTTATTTATTGTCAAGTCACCTTTATTTATATAGCGCTTTTAACAATACAGATTGTGTCAAAGCAACTGTATAATATTAATTAGGAAAATAGTACTGGCTCCTGTGGTCTTGGCCGTCTGAGACAAGGTCTTTACTGGGGATCTGTATCTGGGGCTAGTTGTCCCAGTTGTCATCTAGTTGTCCTGGTCTCTGCTGACTTTCAGGGCTGTAGAGGTCCTCTCTAGGTGCTGATCCACCATCTGGTCTGGATACGTACTGGATCCGGGTGACTGCAGTGACCATCTGATCTGGATACAGACTGGATCTGGTGGCTACGGTGACCTCGGAATAAGAGAGAAACGGACTAATATTAGCGTAGATGCCATTCTTCTAGCGATGTAGCAAGTACATCGAGAGTTATGGAAAGTGTTCCCGGTTGACCTAATTAATGCCAGGTTAAAGAGATGAGTCTTTAATCTAAATTTAAACTGACAGAGTGTGTCTGCCTCCCGAAACAATGTTAGGTAGGTTATTCCAGAGTTTGGGCGCTAAATAGGAAAAGGATCTTCCGCCCGCAGTTGATTTTGATATTCTAGGTATTATCAAATTGCTAGATTTTTGAGAACGCAGCAGATGTGAAGGACTATAATGTAACAAGAGCTCGTTCAAATACTGAGGTGTTAAACCATTCAGGGCTTTATAAGTAATAAGTAAGATTTTAAAATCTATAC